TTTAACCATAAAGAATTCTATGGGTCCATGTCTACAGGCGACGGTTACTACTTTCCATCAAGTGGGCCGTCGGATTGTTCGCTATTGTTCTTATAAAAAATTTACTATTTTTATAAATAAATCTAGCATTATTACTGGACTCGTTAGTGAGTTTTGGACAATTAATGAATGAATATACTTTATTTGAATTATACTTAATAGGGAATAAGCAAGACAATTAATAAATGTAACGATACAGTTGTATAAGTACAGTAAGGTGGTCTTATTGCTGAGAGCAATCTTTTCAAGAGAACCGACTAATTGTTGTAATTAATATCGAGTTGTATTTCGAAAATATATGCCGTTTATTAAACATGCTTCATTTTCCATGATTTTGAACAAGTTATATGTAAAAATAAAATTAACATTAGGTATATTCACAGTATCTTTGCAGAGATAATTTGCTATGACCTAACTAACAGCCGTCAATAATTTCGAGCTCGGAGCGTCATTTCTAAGATTTATTGCGGCGGCTGACTCGTCATTGTTTGTCTGTTTGTACAGACACGCCTTCGGAAGCAGCTGTCTGTCGTGCTGTCTGGGCCGTTATCCTGTGTATCATCCGACCCACATGTATTTGTATTTAAATATTACCTGACCAATTGTACTGTACGTTTTATTCCTATTTTATTATTTATACTCATATGTGAAAGTTTGTAAACATGTTTGAATGATTGTTAATCAATAATATAACCAGAGAGAGACTTTGACTAGGGCCGTGAAGGCAAACCAAAAGTCGTTTGCAATAGATATGCGTCTCATTCTTGTTTTATATAGCTATAAATAATATATGTTTTTTTTCCAAATGGATGACAATGGAAACAGTATACTCCATGTCCATGGTACGCGTCTATCGACGGTTACAACTTTCCATCAGGGGGCACGTCAGTGTTTGCCAAGGATGATACGTGAGGATGAAGCAGGTCAATTAGCCCATCGTGACAAATTCAACAAGAATTGTTCACGACGGTTTCCAGGGGGAACCACGTGGACGTCGACATAATAGAGTATATTGCTAGCAATGGGGCTGTCAAACTCCATTGCTAATAATCCCGTTTCCCCCCAAACAGTTGTCTTTGCATGACTGTGTTTCGGTTTGAAGGGTGTAATATGGCGGTGCATTTACAGTGTATTTACAGTGTACAGAGAAATAACACCTGAGTCCTCAGTTATGGTAACGCATGTGGGGTATCATGGGCGAAACAGTATACTCTGTTATGTCCATGGTACTGCTCATGTGTATATGCGACGGTTACCACTTTCCATCAGGTAGGCCGTCAGCATGTTTGCCATTCTAAGCCGTATAAACGAAGTTACTCTTAAACGACTAAATGGATTTTTGTATTAAACAAAATTTTATAAGAATCTATATTTTTTTTAATGGGTGATAATGGAATAGTTATCCCAAACGGCATACGCCGACGGGGCACCAATGAGGGATGATATCTGAGAATAAAAAGGCAGGTCAGTTAACCTATCGCTTTGAATACACCTATGGAGGGGGGAAAGGGATTGTTAGTAATGGAGACTAAAAATCCCATTGCTAGCAATATACCCAACCAGGTCGACCTCTTCGTGGTTCCCCCTGGAAACTATCATGGTTAATTCCTGTTGAATTCATCATGATGGGCTAACTGGCCTGTTTTCATTTTCATCTATCACCCTTCACTGGTGCTCCGCCAGCGTATCCCGATAGCGCAGGCGGGGTTACCATTCCATTTTCATTCACCAAAAAAAAAATACACTTATGGAATTCAACACGATGGTTTCTAGAGGGGATCACGTGGAGGTCGACCTGATTGGGTATATTGCTAGCGATGCAACTAGTGTTCTGCGTTACTATTTCTATGAGGTTGTCCCAATAAATAAAGCACTAAAGTTTAAGAGGTGATAATTACAGAAAATGAAATTAGCATCAAGATAAATAAACATACAGACATACAGCGGGCGAACACTATGCGCCGATTTGTGTATAAACAAACACAACATTTTATTACATACGTCATAAATCTTTTTCTTCGAGAGGCATCTCAAATTTGCTTGATTTTCTACATAAGTAACATATTATTGTTTTTTTTTTTCTCTATTCAAACATGCACCGCCTACTTATTTCTCTGTTCGCCCAATGTATATATATATATATATATATATATATATATATATATATATATTAGGTGCACGTTCTCATAAGTTTGAGAAGATTGTATATACATTAACAGTTAAAGAAAATACGGTCCACCTGATATATATATATATATATATATATATATATATATATATATATATATATATATATATATATATATATATATATATATTGCCATTCCTGAGGATTCAAATGTTATTCTCTGTACCCTGTAAATTCACGCCATATCCCACCCTTTAAACCGAAACACAGCCATGCAAACACAACTGCTGTACGGTAGAAACACGAATGGGACAGAGATATCTAAGCAGACGACTTTTGCACAAAATCTCTCAATTCTCTCGGCAATAATGCATTTAGTAATCCAGTAACTAGGGATATTATTTATAAATTACTAAATCTTTTCTGTTTTAGTATACTAGTGATAGTAGAGTAAGACTAAATTTTTAGAGGAGGGTCAATAATTTCGCATGATATACAATGCGCACTTTTAGTCCTTCTGTACACACTCATCTTACATGTTTAGATTTAGAACTTGTGATATATACAAACTAAATTTAATAGCATTTAATGCAAGCCAAGTTATTTAGAGCGTTTGAGCGATGAGTTAGTAATTAATTATTTAGGAATGAAACGCTTCTAAATATTGCTTCTTGTCTGTTATTTCACATGCGTCGATTTCAGAACTAGGAAAACTAATAACATAGTTCTTTTCTAAATGGCGCTTCAGATTTTAGATTAGATGTTTAAGCACACAACTAAGATAATGCGATTTTTATTATACAGTTCTTAATGGATATAGAACTAAAGTAAATAAGAAATGGTAACAACTAAAACAGAGTCGAAAATTTTGTATAGCTCTCTAAAATGCGTGTTTTGGTTTGAAGGGACCCACATGTAGGGCAGAATAAGAGATAAAATAGAGTTTAGTGAATAATATATTTGGTTAATTGAAAGAGATCTCTTTTAGACATAGTACACCCTTGTAGATAATATATATAACAGATCATTGTAATTTATTTATTTTATTTTACTTTAAAAGGGAAACATACAATATCTAAAACATATAAAAAAGTATACATAACCATAACATAAATCAGTAAAGTTTCCACAATAAACTAAACTAAATAATCGAGAGCGGATGATTATTGATATTATATATGATATTGATGAACATAAAATATATATGTGTGTGTGTGTAATAGTATATACATACACACACACACACACACACACTTGTAAATATGTGCGTATGCATACACACACACTCACACACATACACACATACACATACATATACTTAACAATAAAAAAAAGAAAACAAATATATCAATAACAATTTTAACATGATTTTTCCCTATCCAATTAAACGGGGTTTGCCAGAAGTTCCTCTCTAACGTGTTTTTTATATAAATTTAAATCTTCTCTGAATACATCTAAAGAGAGGAACTGCTGATTATAACAATTGCAAGCTCTTATAAGATACGTATTACTCATGTAATTCGTGTGTGAAATAGGTGTACAAAATAATTTATTATTTCTAGAATTTACCCGGGGCACCTTATATTAACATTACTCAACAGAAAAGGTGAATCAATAAGATTATTTATAATTTTGTATAAAAATATTTGATCTCTCTCAAAACGTCGTTTACATAAAGACATACTTAATAGTTTTTCTTTATTAGATCTGCAATGTGGACATTTAAAACAGAGATATTTAATAAATTTGGCTTGAATTTTCTCTATCATATTTATATATATTTTATATTGAGGATTCCAAATAGTAGAAGCATATTCTAAAATTGTTCTTACAAAACTATTATATAATAAAGTAAGCGTGGAACAATGCTTAAAATCTCTACCGACGCGGAGCACAAAACCTAACATTCGATATGCTCTTGAAGTTATATCATTAATATGATTTGCATATGTCATTTTGGAGTCGAGAACAACACCCAAGTCCTTGACTTCTGAAACACGATCCAATTGTTCATCATTTATGACATACTCAGATATAATGTTATTCCTTTTTCTAGAATAAGTAATAATACTACATTTTTTTATATTTAAGTATAAATGATTAGATTCACAATAAGTTACTAAATTATTAAGGTCGTTTTGAAGTAATAAGCAATCAGATTTGGATTTAATAGTCTTAAATACTTTCATATCATCAGCGTAAATTATGAAATTAGAGTATTCTATTGCGACTATAATATCATTAATATATAAATTGAAAAAGAGGGGCCCTAGGTGGGAGCCCTGAGGAACTCCTGACGTAACGGGGATGAAAGAAGAACAAAATCCCTTAATAGCAACAGCCTGACTCCTATTCATAAGATATGAACGAATCCACCGAAGTAAATCTCCGTGAATCCCCAATCTCTCAAGCTTCTGAACAAGTATTAAATGTGATATTTTGTCGAAGGTCTTAGAATAGTGTACACCACATCGACTTAGTAGCCGTTATCCATTGATTCTGTTGTATAATGAACAAATTCACAAAGATTGGTCTCAGTGGATTTTTTGCTAATAAAGCCATGTTGTTGTTCAATAATTATTGGTCTGAGAATTGGGAAAATTTCGTCATAAATTATCTTTTCCATGAGCTTCGGTAATATGTTTACAAGAGAAATAAAGAAATAAGACTTGTAAAATACCAAGATTGGACACGAGTAAATAAATAATGTGAGCCACGTAGTGTAATTAAGTTGTTAAAAGTATCAATGTATGATTAGCTCGCAAAGATTGTTATATTCATTATTTTAACAATTTAATTCCAGATAATTATTTGCGTATTTCTTTAATTTCAGAGTGAATCCTGCGACTCTGGCGATTGGGGTTGGTCAGGGCTGGAAGAATCCGGCGGGCCAAGGGTCCCAGCGTTGGTGACAGCGTGTTTAGCTCACTTGCGTCGGCACTGTTTGCACACAATTGGACTCTTCAGGGTATCAGGATCCAAGAAAAGGGTCAGACAGGTTAGTTTTGGAGTATGAATTAGATAATGGTCGATTAAAGAGTTCCTTTTGGAATTCAACTACAAAATAGAAATACTTTTACTTTATCTATGTTTCCTATCCGGCTGAGAAATGTTGACTGGAAGAGATCTAAAAGTAATCGAATTTGCCCATTTGTACTTAGTTGCTCTCATGTTGTATATGAATTGCATGAATTTGATAAAGATACTTATAATTATTTTCCTTAATCTTTTACGCTGTTAACTTTCTTCATTATACAATACTATCATACCTACTTGTACAACAATTAGTCCATTACCCTAAGGTTGTCTTGAAAAGATTGCTCTCAGTAATAAGACCGCCTTACTGTACTTATACAACTGTATCGTTATATTTGTTGTCTTGCTTGTTTCCTATATTGTATAATGCAAATAAAGTATACTCATTCATTAATTCATTTAATGTTTGGGTTTAGAAATTAGCTCGACTGATAATTGAATCTGGCACTTTATTTAAATAAACGTTGCTGTAACAATTTCACATAGATTTACTATAGTAAGTCGTCAGTTCGTATTTCTATGGATAAAGCTTTCATAGCGAAATTTCACTAATCGTTGTTGTGACAGCTCGCTCTATATAAATCGTGAGCACACGAACTGGCTAACAACAGACTTATAAAATATTGATAAACGAAATTAGATGTTTTCCCAAACGTATTGCCTGTTGCAACAGCGGTGCGGTCGACCTAATTTGTGATACAATATTTGCTTATAAACTTAGCCGCTTATTAGCGCTTTGTTGTTTAGAATTACCACCTATTACAATAAACGCATTGTAGAGTTTCTTCTATCTAGATCGGTTTTTCCCAACGTGGGGCCCACGCCCCGCAGTGGGGCAATTTGATGGTTAAGGGAGGGCAATTAAAAAATGGACTCGAAGCGATTTTAACCCTCTTGCTCCGGGCCATTTAAATGCAATGCTACGAGTAGATATCGGTGCTAAATTTAACAAAATAAGTAAAATAAATGCTGTAAATATTTATTAAGTATAATTTCGTTTGACATTACCAAAATATCAACTGGGCGATTAGAGTCAGCAAGTAAACTTTGTCGGGAAAAATTATGTATGGGGGCATAAAAATTTTAGAAATATTCTAGTGGGGCATGACACGAAAAAGGTTGGAAAACACTGATCTAGATAGAGCGATGATTTAAAATTTGCAGGGAGACAGGGAGTATCATGTGACAGTCTATGGGAGAGGCCAATATTTATGTAGCAGTCAGTGGTTAAAGTAATGGCTGAAGTAATGATCATGTCTCCAGTCTCAGAAAAGCATAGTCTAGAACTAAAGATAGTTCTGAATGTTAAAGTTAATATTTGTAAACTTTGATACGAGACATAGCGAGCTAGTCATCAGACACAGCTCAAGTGAGAGATGTCAAGGGCAATAATAATGTGTATATAATTAGCAGTTATTACTTTCCATCAAATTTTGCTACTTCTTGAAATCCAAACGAGATTGTAAAATCTATAGGATTAAAATATTTGCATTTACAGATGCGGGAAGAATGGGAACGAGGTACATGTTCAGCGGTTGACGCCTCGGCTTGTCCACACGACGTGGCCGCTCTATTGAAGGAGTTCCTGCGAGACCTGCCCGATCCCCTTCTCTGCAGAGATTTGTACCAACCTTTCTTGCAGACACAGAGTGAGTATTTATCAATATTTTTAATATGGAAATGAAGGAGACGTTTGTACATTGACCAGAAAATTTTATGAAATAGTTTAACGCAGAGGATATTTTTTATAGTTTGGTTGAAGGGTGAAATATGGTAGTGATTTTACTAGGCACTGTGATGCAAGACCTTCATGTAACAAAGATTGGTAATAAGTACCAGATACTTCTAGAATTGTAGAAATGTAAATAACAGCTTAGCACAAGTATGTTTACCACCTTTGTTGTATTAATAATCGCCTAAAAATCTATTTTTATCTGGTACATATAATGTTAGTTTGGTCAACTATATCTAAACAGTATCGATGTAAACGCTTCAGAAATTCGAAGTCGTCGTCTCCAGTGGGAAGCCTTGAAGCTCATAGTGCAGCTTCTCCCGGCAGCCCATCGTGACACCCTGAACGCTCTTCTGTCATTCCTGGCGCAACTTGCAACTCATTCTGAGGACGACCACCAGCCAGGAAACAAAATGGACGCTGCGAACCTGGCCACTATTTTCGCGCCAAATATATTGCACAGAAACAAGCCTAATGAAGCAGCAAGGTTTGTTTTAATCTATACATATAAAATCGTTTAACTATCAACGTAAAGCCAAAATTACAAAATTTAGAAAGCAAAAATTTGGAATATAAAATTGTTTCTTAATGTAAGCATGGACTGAGAAGAAATTTGAAAATTTCTTTTGAAAAATTTGAGTAACCGAATCTTTTGAAGTTAGTTGGGTGACTGGCATACTCACTGAGATATATTTAAATGGAAATACCTATTAATTAAACTATTACATCAACCAAGGTTATTGAATTATTAAAATGAATAATTGTCAAGATCGATACAGCATTTTAAAAAGACCATTCAAAGGATTGTCTACTGGAGATTTCAATAGTTACATCACATCGGCACGCTAGTGTATTACTTATCTTATTGAGTCGATTTCTTTTAAAGACACCATAGTCTTAAATATGAAAATCTTTCCAAGAAGAACAGTTAGTAAGGAGAGAGGAACAGTCAGGTAGGAGAGAGGAGAGGCTAAACTTAGTTTTTCTATGTACATTACAGTGCTGAGCAGTTGTCGGAGCGCGTGGACGTGATCAACGTGGTGCGGCAACTAGTGGAGAGGCAGGCGGAGTTGTGGGCGCTGCCGGCGGCCACGCTGCACCTGGCTTACGTGCAGCTACTGCACGCGCAGCCTGCACACCTGGACGCGTTGCTGCTGCGCCGCGCACAGTAAGTTACTACGCTTAGCATGACATCTGGGAAATCCGTTATAGAGGTCTACATACCCCAAAAGAAGTATATGAGTACTGTCGGCCTCCTACTGGGTAAACACTATAAGTACATGATATCCTTAAGCTAGGACGTCAGGATTCTATCTTATCAATGCTTATGGTGAGACAGCTTATAGAATGGCTGGCGGAGCTGGCTTTGAATGGGCTTAATTATTACGATACAAAGATGGATTATGAGAGTAAATATCGCCAGCCCCAGCCATTGATCAGGGTAGTGCGAGATTATTTTTTGGAGTCCTTTAGTCGAGGCTTTCAGTTATAGTTTTATATTAAATGTAAATCTACTTTTTTGCAAATACATATCAACATTAATCGTATCTATATTAAGAAGCTTTAATTAGTATACTCCTGTTTCTTTAAAATTAAGAAAGGTTTTACTGTTACATTGTTAAATTAGTATTTGGGATCGTTCAACACTGCTCCCAATCCTCTTAAAACATGCTATCATTTTATTTTCAATAATGATTTCCTAATTGTTTATCATATTTGGTTTTTCTGGCGTCTTTTGCCATCTGGAGCCTAGAGTGACTGCTTCTCTCGCTCTACTTCAGGGCTAGAGAATAAAATCATCATTTGCCTACCCTTATCCCAATTATTATTTGGGGTCCGCGTAATATGTTTTTCTCTTCCATTCTTCTCTATCCGCATTCACTCCCAATCTGGCCATATCATTTTTCACACAGTCCATCTATGTACGCCCTAGCCCTATCGAAATCACTTTTATTCTTATCCATATTACAAAAAAGATTTGACTTATAGTTTTACGACCGGCCGCCTGCCTGACGTCAACCCTTTTTGGGAATACATTAAAGACTCAAGTATTTATGCGGTGTATCTAATAAACCGTAGTTATTGTTTTATAAATAAATTGAAGGAATTAGAAGAAACTTTGGGGATATGTAGCATTTTGATAAAATAAATTAAGAATACCAAGAATAATCTCTACAGTATACATTTATTTACGCAGAAATATGCCAGTGCCTGCATCGGTGGTGGACGGGGCGAGCGTGGTGGGCGCGACGCCGGCTGGCGGCGGCGGCGGCGGCGGCGGCGGCGCGGACGGCGCGGCGCGGCGCGTGTGGTCGCGCGAGGAATTCCTGCACGGCGCCGCCGCCACCGGCGGACACCACACCGACAATGCCAGGTGATCACCTCAAATACCACCAGGGAGATATTTTGTTTTGTATTTATAGGTACCTCTCAATTGTCAAATACTGTGCTTGTTTCAGTATTTTGGTGTAGACGTTACTAGGTACAGCGGTAACTCTCTAGTTCTCAGGATTTTTTTTTATACAGTAAAGATGGCATACAAGTATACAGCCCGTCTGATTGTAAACAATCACTGTAGCCTATAGACGCCTGCAACACTAGGGGAGTCAGGTGCGCATTGCCTACCCTGAAGAAACCTTACTATATCCTTTTTGAAGAACCCCATACTGTAGTCTGAATGCTGACATATAAGAGTTAATAGGCTGAACACTCTGTGATATCTATGGATACTGTCCATATTCATGACGCTGTATCTGGCAGATCGTCATTTATAAATTTTACCCTTTCGCCAAATTACATTTTGTTATTAGGTTCAATACAAACTGGATTGAAAAAGACTAACTCTTCGTATGAGTAGCCTTTTTCAACTCGGTTTTTATCTCAGAATTTGTAGCTATTGCTCTAAGAAAAAAAATCTTAAAAACACTAGCTATATATCAGTCATATAGAGTCAAGTCCCCTAGTTCTTTTGTTACATTAATATCAATGTATGTCGTTGACAGACGCAGTACTGACAAAACATACTCCCGCACGAGAAGAACGAGGGAAACTGCCTCTGACACATCATCGGGGTCGTTTTCCTCCACTATGACTATAGTTACCAGGTTAGTTAATGATCACTCACTGTATTATACTCAATGGAGATAAAGTCGAGCAGCAGTTTTACAAGAGGCAGACTTCTTCATTTGTGCTTTTGCCACGAAGTAGCTGTTCTTGTATTGCTGTTTCGATTTAAAGGATAGAATATGGCAGTGAAATTACGTGGTACGAAATAACATTTTAGTCTTTAGAAATTGTAACGTACACTGCTTTCTGTCATTTATTCTGTCAGCATGTTTGTTATTTTAAGTTATATAGAAAATTGGTTTCATTCATGTTTGAAAATTAGAAAAAAAGATTCATAGTATTTAAAAAAAATAGAAGTGACTTTGAATGTTTGTTATTTTTTGGCACTTTAATGGTTCATATAATCGTCATGAAATTTAACGTACACATACTATTTGGGATACAAGAGAATATTATGTTCGCTACTTTTTATCTCTGTCTGTCGATATGTCCCATTCACACTGTCAAAGTCGCAGGCAAAGATTAGTTTTTAATGCATGAAAACAGAATGGAGCATCCTGTATATGCTGGAGCATCCTGTATATATGGAGTTCCAGTAAGGAATAATAGATGACGATCAAGTCAAGTTAGTTGGCCCATCGCAGCGAATTTACTAGGAATTAATCACGATGGTGACTAAGAGGAACAGCGTCAAGATCAATTTGATAATAATAGCAATTGGATTAATAATTCTATTCCCCCCGGTAATGACTAGTTGATAAGTTGTAATTGCTGTGGTAGCAGTGGCGGTGTGAGCAGCGGCGTGGGCGGCGTGCGCGTGCGCAGCGGCGACGAGCACGGCGGCGGCGCCGCGCGCGCAGACTCCGCGCCCGACTCCAACGACTCCGCCTCCGACTACAACGAGGTACTACCTTTAGCTTGTCATAAATCTTACCTTTTTACCTTGTCATAAATCCTATTTAATCCTTACTAATTGCCGTGTAAGTTCCAGCATAGAATAAGCCACCCTTCCTTTCCCGTGGGTGTCGTAAGAGGTGAATCAGGGAACTTATATGCAGTTTATACATTTTGCCGAAATAAATATATAGACAGCTCAAATAAAAAAAAATAGAGTTTTGACTCCTGCTACTCATATACTTTTATTAATATCTTCTACATATAATCATCATCCAGATATAGTATAGGTATTATTTAATGTACGTATGTCTTGCAAGATATATTTTCTATGTATGAATTATCATACCAGACAAAGTTAAGATCCAAATAATAAATCTAATGCTATTTTCCATTTTGATATGTCTTTAAATTCTATCTTACAGAAAATCTGAATAATTTCCATTTTGTTGTAAGCTAAAATTTTAGGCTCTGTATTTTAATATTGTCAGACACTAGGCGGCTCAGACGACGACAGCTGCGTGATCACAGCATCGCTTCATATCCCAGCTGCGTCAGTGTCTCGGGCAAGACCGGCGCCTCCGCCGCGGCGTAGATCTACCTCCGGCTCGGAATCTTCGGCCAAACGAGATTCGGCGGTGGGCTCGTCGCCGTCGGCTTTCGGTTCTTCGGCGGCGTCGTCCGCCGCGTCGGCTTCGGCGTCGGCGTCGGCGGCGTCAAGCCCACCCGCGTCTCCGCCACCGGTACTGGCTGGCTCTGTGTCGACGGCAGCGCTGCGAGTAACGCTGTCCGCTGCGGGCGAGGTGCGGCGTGCGTCTGATATCGATAGACTTATTTCGCTCGGCAGGTGAGATTATAATCGAATTTTTGGTCATCCATTTTATAACTTTAATGATATCCGGCTCGAAGGACCACAAAGAACATTCGTTATTTCTGAATTCTGAAACGCTGTACAATTTTTTAAACTAAAACTTTTTAGATTTTCGCCATTGTCCTTACACTTAAATTGGTACATAATTAACCGGTTCCACATACATTAAATATATTTTGTTAAAATATTTGTTACATGTAAATGTTATTTACGAGTATTTACATATGTAGGCCAAGTAGATAAGAATGAAATAGAGATCTGATAATATTATTATACCGCTTACATTCTATTATTTTAGAAAGGACTCAATATTATAATCACAATAGGAGAAATTAATTGGAATATCTTTCGTATTCCAGAGAGCGTAACACATCAGACGCGCGAGCTGTAGTGCTCCGACAACACGACGAGAGCAGCAGCAGAACGAGGGTATCAAGCAGACAGGAACAGTCAGTGAGGAAAGAGGAACAGTCAGTCAGGAGAGAGGAACAGTCAGGGAGGAGAGAGGAGAGGCGAGAAGGCACCACATTGTACAAGAGAGGAGAACTCATATCTAGTGCACGGTCGTCAACAACATGACATATTATTTACGTGTTTTTATACATAAACGTCTATTTATCAGCATTTGTTTTATTGAAAATTATTTTTATGCAACTTAGAATGGCAAACAAGCTTATGGCCCACTTGATGAAAACTGGTAACCGTCGTCTATAGACATGAGCAGTACCATGGACATAACAGAGTATACTGTTTCACCCATGATACCCCCCATGCGTTGCCATTCCTGTGGACTCAGGTGTTATTCCTCTGTACCCCTTAAATTCACTGCCATATCCCATTTATCAAACCGAAACACAGCCATGCAAACACAACTGCTTCTCGGTAGAAACATGGATGAGATAGAGGCAGAGAATTAGTTATGCGTAAGCTGCAATCAATTTGCAATAGCTAAAATGCACAATGATTGTTTATTATTTTATTTTTAACAAATTTTGTGTACGATTCACCATTCTCTTGCCCTCCATTCAAAGACAAGCTATGAGTATAATCGACGATCCTAAGCTCACAGGCGGTATCGAGCTCTTAAGTCTAAGTTGATAGTTTGCCTCCCTTTGTGTTTTACCGCTTGTATAACGGATTGTGTTTTGTGGAATTGATTGAAAAGATGCCCACAGTCACTTTATCATTATACATATATCAATGCATTGCTCACCATCGACAGACAACTCATGCTCACACGCTTGAACTTAAATGGTCACGTACAGTGCGGTTTCAAAGAAATTTTCTCCCGCGAACACTGAGGCTGTGGAATGAGGTATCTGCCGAGGTTTTCTTTAAAGACTACGGTACGGGGTTTTTCAAAACGGGTAATTTAAGATTATTATATATCGGCAACGCACACGTGACATGCCTAGTGTTGCAGGTGTCCATAGGCTACAGTAACCGTTTACTATCTGACGGACTGTATGCTTGTTTGCCTCCTTCGTGGTATAAAAAAAAGAAATTATTATTGTAGAATAGCAAGTTACAAATTATGGTTTATAAGAGGCTTCTAGCTCTCTAAAACGTGATAACTACTGGCAAAACTTTATGGGGAGGCCTATGTTCAGCAGTAGATAGGTACAGTTGATGTGAAAAACTTTCTGTCAGGGGTTCAGTACTCAATATTGCCACAGTAATGGAGTCCACTTCTGTTGCAAACACAATGGTTACGTCTTATTTTTAGAAGTTGATTAAAATATAAATTAATTTGTTTTTCCAAACGTCTTTTTACTCAGTGTTTGTTTATAATGCAAACAATTCCGTTTATTTCCTGTGCAGTTTGTCGCGCATGATGATGGCTCCCAGCTTCGACACACCGTCCTGGTATTCAGTTTTACCGAGAGGTGGCACTGCTGATGTTGTTTCTATAACAATAAATACTTTATTATTTTTTAAGTACACTCTATAGAGCAAAATATCAAATTTACTGTACCCAGTAAATTATTTGGTTAAAATAAATAAGATTTAGACTTAAAGAAAACGTAAGTAATGATTTTTTAAAGGAAGGTTCCAAAATCATTGATTGACGATTACAATTTGTATCCTTTCAGTATTTTTTTATACAACTTAGAATGGTAAACAAGTTGACGGCCCACCTGATGGAAAGTGGTAATCGTTGCCTATAGACATGAGCAATACCATGGACATAACAGAGTATACTGTATCGCCCATGATACCCCCCATGCGTTGCCATTCCTGAGGACTCAGGTATTATTCCTCTGTACCCTGTAAATTCACGCCATATCCCACCATTCAAACCGAAACACAGCCCTGCAAACACAATTGCTTCACGGTTGAAACACGAATGGGACAGAGGTACTCAAGCAATCGACTTTTGTACAAAGTCTCCCTCTGGTATTTGTATGTATGTAATTACCATTTTATGTTAAAGTAGAAATAATTTAATTTTTAAACAGTCAACGAGTATCTCTGCTCACCCTAAAGGTTGACAGATAGAGAATGCCTGCAGCATTAGGTCTGTCTTTTGTACCACATTTGTCGACAGGAGTGAAGATAGTATTTTTGTGAAATCATATGAAACAGCATAATACCGCATTTAGCTCTTGGGTCGCTAGCACCTCCAGCGCTAGCCTGTTTGGACATGGTGCGCGGTGCAGTTTTCCGTGGTTTGGGCCCTACCCTGCAGGGGTCGCCGGGCAGTCGCAACGGCTGCGCGCAAGGACCTGTTCCGCTTTCATCCGCCGCTCGCTGAAGACGTTCAAATTTAGCTCCAGGTCCTGGAGGTCATCATGAAAATCTAGATTATCTATTGCTTCTAGCTTTTATAATAGTAGTTGTTGCTCGCGGTTTTACTCTTAAATTAAGATCAAATTTCATTCAAATCCATTCAGCAGTTGGACTATCAAACATCCCAAATATCGGGGGGAAAAGGGATTGTTGGTAATGAGGATCAGCAACCCTATTACTATCAGTATACTCTATCAGGTCGACCTCTTCGCGGTTCCCCCTGGAAGTCGTGACTGGTCCTTTAGTGAATTTGTCATGATGGGCTAACTAACCTGCTTTATCTTCACTTATTATCCCTCACTGGTGCCCCATCAGTGTATACCAATAGCGCAGGCGGGGTTACCATTCCATTAAAAAAACACCCAAACATTTTTATCACATCACATTTATAATATTCATCATCATATCAGCCTTTAACTGTCCACTGCTGAACATAAGCCTCCCCTTGGAGGTTTTGCCAGCAGTCGCAACGCTTGGCAGGTGGCTTGGCATCCGCAGTTGGGCTTTGGTGATCTTTTAAGAGAGATGCTGCTGCCTATCCTTTGACCATTAAACTCCCATAGTTGCCTCTTACGACACTCACGGGAAAGAAAGGAGTGGCCCATTCTATGCCGGGACCACACGGCACATTTATAATATTAGTAGGACAATATAATAGGTACATCTACTATTAACAGACTTTTTCATCGTGCCTCTGACCAAATTGTTTATAATTGCTCCTCTCCATCCAAAGGTTGCCTTGAAGAGATTGCTTTTAGCGATAATGTCGCCCATTGTTTTCTCATTGTGATTATTTCTTGTAATTGTTTATATTTATAATAAGTTTACTATTGTAATCTTTTGGAGGAAACAATAAAGAGTATCTATCTATCTACTCTTTATGTTAAATAGATGCACATGATAGTGCAATTCTTAGTTAATCTATATTTAATATGTTTTTGATAGGACCTTCATACCCCATTATATATATATATATATATATATATATATATATATATATATATATATATATATATATATATATATATATATATATATATATATATAATGGTAAATGTCTTTAAACACCAAAAATATCTTAGAATGCATTGTAATGCCTACGGGACCTAACATGTTAAATGTCTGAAGATTTTGATGTTTTATGGTATCATGACGGTTTTTTCACCAGCACTCACCACTCTCACAGTAGTCTACACGGTAAGTAGTCTTATTACGATCCCTGTCTATTCTCTGTTTCAATTCTGGCGACGCTTCGTTCTGCAGAATGCTGTACAGCATCGGATACTTGGATTGGAGCTGAGGGAAAAACATATAGATAGCAAAGTGTAAGGAACAAATGTGGGGAGAAGATTTTTGATTGCTGCTATTTTATTACAGAACAGTCTGTGATAATATAATAGTAATAATATTTTCACAGGGAGGCGTAACATAACACGTTCACGCCGGCGCGGGCCACCGCTGGCCCGCGCTAGACTGTCTCATTTGACGATACGTACCACCGGTGGTACGCACTAGTTTGTCTTATCTGGCGGCGTGTACCACCGGTGGCCCGCACTAGACTGTCTTTTCTGGCGGCGCGTACCACCGGTGGTACGTATTCGATTGTGCTATTAGCATCAATTAGAGCGCCGCCACGCAGCAAAAAACATTAAAGTCGGCCCCGGCGTGAACGTGTTAAGCTATTCATTTTAATTTAATTTATTCGATAACAATATTACAATATTTTGAATGTGATAAATTCGTAATATTAATAATACAATAAGTACAAAATCAGAAATATAGAACAATGTAATAATATTACATACAAATAAGTCCATAATAATTGGTTTGAATTAATCAAAAGTATGAAAGAACCTAATCTAACCTTTCTTTATAAGTATAGAAGCTTAAATTTGTTTTTCTACTGATGTTTCTTCGGGGAAAATATTCAATTTTATCACTTACTCACTTAAAATTATTCTGTTATTTCAATTTCGTCATGTATGGAATATGTTATGTATGCATGGGTCCATGCAAGTAGCTAATGTGATGGTTAATACAAGTTGTTGTTTTGAATAATTTAAACAAGTAGTAAGTAATCTTCGCAATAATATTAAAAATACAAATCGATTTTGCTACACAAAAATATTTATACCTTATCCAAAAATGCATTAGGCTGATCGTATCTGGATGTAGGCGTCTCTGGACTAGCAGCTACACGGACAGGATATAGTTTAGGATCCAGCAATGGTCCCATTATCTGGAAGAAAAGTGATTCCTTTCAAAATAATGAAAAAAATTATTAACTGAATGAAATATCCAATATTCAATTATTGAAATGGGTGTCTGGAATTAAACATTGGGGAGTATTGACTGTAAAACTGTAATTAATATCATCATCATCTCAGCCATTATCTGTCCACTGCTGAACATAGGTCTCCCTCATGGACTATCATAAGAAACGATCCTGAGCCATCTGTATCCACCAACTCCTTGTAATACATTTGAAGTCGTTACTCCTTTTGATGGGAGTTGTCTTATACTCGTATTGCGTTGCTCGTGCGGGATCGCCACTCAAGAACCTTTCTTCTAAATCGGTTGTCGATTCTTCGAGCTATGTGACCAGTCCATTGCCATTTCAGCTTGCTTATCCTCGGCCTATGTCGGTCACTTTGATTGTTTTGCGGATATCCTCATTTTGGATTTTGTTATCCAAACAAACTCCAAGCCCTTTCCATAGCCTGCTGAGTAATTTTAAACCTTTATATACGGCCAATAAGTAGATAGATAAATACTCTTTATTGTTTCCTCTAAAAGATTACAATAGTAAACTTATTATAAATATAAACAATTACATGAAATAATCACAATGACAAAACAATGGGCGACCTTATCGCTAAAAGTGATCTCTTCCAGGCAACGCTTGGATGAAAAGAAATAATTACATATAAACAGTTTGATCGGAGGCACGATGGAGAGTCTGTCATTTCTAAACATGGAGAATATAGGACCATGTTTCGATTCCATAGATCATCACATCATTAATATACAAGCTAATAACTAAAATAAAACAGCATTGACATTTTATTATTCTATACCGTGATATATCTTAATTTGAAAGACAGAAACATACCTCATTTCTACTCCATCCTCCCTCTTTCCCTGGAGGCAGCCGGGGCATTTCTCCGCCAATGTATTGTGGACATCTGCAGTCTGGAGGACGCGTGTGCTGCATACATGCTTGATAAAAGGCCAACTCTTGCCCTGACAGTTTTGGTACCCTGGGAAAGACCAGAAGCATCAATGACCTTTGTGAAATCAAGTTCTTAGGTCCAAAAATAGTAATGTCGCAGCTTTAAAAACATGTTTTAATAACAGTGATCAAGCTGTAGGATTTTGAACTTTTCTCCTCCTGTCATTAAGGTAACAATAAAAGCTTTATTGTTACCTCTCAAACGGGCTTTAAGTGTACAAGGACCGTGTTATATTAGATTTAGTATATTTAAATAAATACACATTATGTTAATAGATATTTGAAAAGAATAACTGCTAAGTTCATTGCGGGTTCTTCTCAGTAGATAACAACATTCCGAATCCAGCAATAGACACATAAATAATATAAATTGTTTCCCAAAAAAAAAAAAAAAAACGACTTTAATTGTGCCAAAATCAGTTATTTTGATTTAAAAACTAAATTAATGTACCGATTTTGATATTATTTCTATGGGACTAATGTGTACATATATCCTTTCAGAGAAAAAAAAAATTTTTCCAAACTGATCTACAACTGACGGAGTTATGAGATAACAAATATGAAAAAAAAAACATACAACCCGTTTATTTTTAGAGTCAGTAAGCTAATGACGATTTAAAAGTGTTTGTAAACAAGTCTATACTATTATAGATTCTTTCTACTCTTACACTTACTCTGCTAATTCTTTACCAGCACCTCCTGCATCTCTCGATGTTGGCAGATTTGGCCACAGGTAGTCCTTTCTGTATATTGTGAGGTAATGATCCATGTCTATCCAGTAGGTCTATTTATTTCTCGATTAACTATACATTACTCATGAAAATTTCCCTAAAGCAATTCCAATGTTTTTGCATAATTAAATTAAATAATTTAACAATTATTACTATTTCAATTTATTGCATTTTGAGGTATTGTCACTTGTGACGTGCGTGGCATATCGGTTTTGATTGCTTATGTTTTTTTTAATACAACTTTAGAATGGCAAACAAGTATGTTTGTTACTGTTTAATGCAAAAATTATACAACGGATGTGAATAGTATTTGGTATATGGGTAGGTTATGTCCTGACTTAGCATGTTACTTTATAAATGGATTCATGTGGACGAGGCCGCGAGATACAGTTATATGGGTCCAAAAAACAAGTCCAGTGGCAATATTTATAAAACTTCAATTTAAGCCTAAAATTAAAAATTACTTTTATCTTTATTTTTGTCCAGGTTCTGATAGGTAGAAAGAATTGAGCGCCCAAAACTCAAGTCACAGGTTTTAGTTCATTTGCAAAAAATAAAAACAATTATTTTTTTATTAAAAGTTTATTTAAACATATTCCTGCAAAATTCAATAAAAATACCTACATAGAACAGTAATTATTTGTTATTAATATTTTCATATATTTCCAAATTAATTCATAATTTACAGTTATATATGTATTTATACAATAATAATTATTAAGATATGTATAGGAATTCGTTAGACAAAATATTGTTTAGAAATATCGTTTCGTTTCATATTTATTTATATAATTTGTTTTAACAGAATTCAACGGAAAAGTAATTAAATTTTGTTGAAATTTTATTATTACATAAACAATTTCCAAATTAATTTAATAACAAATTAAAACATTGATTTAATTAATTCCAGTTATTTTAAAAAATATTATAGTTCTATTGTTAAATGTTTCGTAAGTGTACATTATATTTTAATGTAATAAATACCGGTTTAACTTACATGTAATTAGATCGAGAATGCTCGACTAGTTTCAAGATCAAATCGTGATCCTTCATATTGAGCGGCTGTGAAAAATATTAAATTCACACGTAAATTAAACCGGTATTAACCGGTTCTTTATTTGTACTACTGTTGGATATCAACAGACTGTCTTAGACTGGTAATTATTAAAGTTAACCAGGTAATTATTAAGTTCTTTTGAAACTCTGAAACAGACTATAGTTAATTATTTATTGCACTAAATCCTGTATGTATAAATGTAAGGGTTCAGCCATCTTCCATATTTGGGTTCCTCGCGGGGCGGTCCGAAGGGATTCTTCTCTAGCACAACTTGGCCGAGTAACCCGTGGCACGCGCCATATGTCGTATCGCCAGTGCGCACGCGCAGGATGCGTCGAAGTTCCTCTGTGGATCAAAATTTTAGTTATAATAGACTAGCCGTCGTGGCAAATGTTAATTTGCTCCCTATCGCCATTTACTGGGTCCATTTTAATTTTTATCCAGATAAAACCAGTTGGAGCAAACAAACATCTATATTAATAATTTACACGAAGATAACGAATCCACTTAAGGGAACAATAAACTTGCATTTATTACTATTATACTACTATATCAGCTACTATATATATATATATATATATTATATATATATATATATAAAAATGTGAAATGTACGTACTCTGCAATGATTGGTCAAACTTCGGCTTCATAGACATGGCAGAGGGATGCTCTGCGTATTTCTCTGGTTTAGGGTGGCGGTAAGAACTGAGGTTACTGGTGTCCGGGATGTAAATATCGTCAGGGAGGCGCAGGGTTTGCAGCGCACGAGCCCGGCGTGCCAGATTCACCGACATGAATGGCAATTCTATGTAATAATCAGGGCCAGATTAAATATGTCGACCCCTTTAGACAATGCATATCTAGTTCATAAAAAAAACCTACAGATAGATAGATATTTTATTTCCATTACTTACAGCACACAAATAACAACAAACTTACAGTAAAAAGAGATAAAAGAATGCATATACAAAAAAAAGCACAATATATAAAATAAGTAACAGTTTTCTTCTTTTTTTTTTTATACAACTTAGAATGGCAAATAAGCTGACGGCCCACCTGATGAAGCTCGCTTATAGACATGAGAGTACCATGGACATAACAGAGTATACTGTTTCGCCCCTGATACCCCCATGCGTTGCCATTCCTGAGGACTCAGGTGTTATTCCTCTGTACCCAGTAAATTCACGCCATATCCCACCCTTCAAACCGAAACACAGCCATGCAAACACACCTGCTTCACGGTTGAAACACGAATGGGACAGAGGTACCCAAGCAATCGACTTTTGTACAAAGTTTCCCTCTGGTAAAAGCGTGTTCTATATTATAAAATTATTCCACATGAAATAATTTGAAAAATGTTATATGAAATATACTAAAATAAATACTTGCGTTGAGCATTTGTAAATAAAAATGTTCAGTCGTAATTTTCACTTGAAGAAATGCTTTCGAATATTTTTTTTGTCAATGCAAGCAAGAGAAGGCAAGGGGCCTAGCATTGACTAAGGGCCCAGGCATTATTCAGTACAGGTAACTGCCTACATAGTTACTATCTAATGAATAATCTAATACTGATAATAATGTGCAACTTACCAGAGGGAGACTTTGTACAAAAGTCGATTGCTTGGGTACCTCTGTCCCATTCGCGTTTCAACAGTGAAGCAGTTGTGTTTGCATAGTTGTGTTTCGGTTTGAAGGGTGGGATATGGCGTGAATTTACTGGGTACAGAGGAATAACACCTGAGTCCTCAGGAATGGCAACGCATGGGGGGTATCATGGGCGAAACAGTATACTCTGTTATGTCCATCGTACTGCTCATGTCTATAGGCGACGGTTATCACTTTCCATCAGGTGGGCCCGTCAGCTTGTTTGCCATTCTGTTGTATAAAAAAAAAAAAAAACTTGAACGAGCATCCGGAGGATTTTTTTTATTGTTCAAAAAATAAATTTCTGAAAATATAGAAAATAAAATAGTAGGATCCCAAAAATTACAATAGTAATAGGGAGAAGTACTATCTTCTTGATTCTGCTGTACCGTGATCATGTAAAGTTTTTTTAAATGTTCCCGTTCTTTTGACCGATGATTATCAAAGGTCAGTTGTGTCTGGAGAGAAATGATTAACATGAAATAATTTATGGCAGGAGTTTCAAGCCGCTTAGAGATGATAGGTAGCAACAGTGGACTTGATCATTGTTATCTTTACATCATTCGTGTTATCTATCCACTGTTATATTTTTACAGTCTTTTAATAATAGATGGTCTATTTAATTATTGCAGATCCTTTATTCATTACTCAGACAGCCATTATTATACCATGCTATTTAATCAACCAATCCGTGTCCACCTCTAGTGATGTCCCATATACACTAGTGATGTGATCTTACAACACCACTAATGAACATAGGTCTTCGCCATAAATTGTCATAAAGAACGGTGCCGAGGGTTGCAGGGAGTCAATGAATGTTGGTGGCATTGACTGACTCCCTGCAATGTATTTAAGGTCTATACTCCATCTAGCGGGGTGATGGGGTCGTCTTTAACTACGTTTGCAAGGGCAATAGTATAGGCAAATAGGTAAATAGTAAGCTTATAGGTACAACATTATTTAAGAGATTTTAAATTAACTGTCAAACTGGTTTTTAAGAGAAAATTAAGTCATAATTGTATTTAAGATGAAAATGGAATGTTAACCATGCCTGCGTTAATGGTGATTGCCAAAGGAGCACCAGTGAGTTATTTTAGGTTTAGGAGTTGGCCTAAAGTATTAAGTGAAGTAAGACGAACTCATTTGAAATTAACCACGATGGTTTTCAGAAGGGACCGCATGGAGGTTGACCTGATAGAGTGGGGGGAAAGGGATTGTTAGCAAAGGAGTTTGACAGCCCCATTGCTAGCAATGTACCCTATTAGGTCGATCTCCACGTGGTCTCCCTGGAAACCATCTTGAACAATTCTTGTTGAATTCGTCACGATGGTCTAACTGATTTGCTTGATTCTTACCTATCATCCTTCACTGATGCCCTGCCGGTGTATACCGATAACGCAGGCGGGGTTACTATTCAATTATCACCCATTAAAAAAAGACCTGATAGAGTGTGGAGTATTAATGAATTAGGTATCTTTCGTGAGTACCTCTAGAGCAATACTTAGTCAAGTATTCGGTCCTTTTGAGATCCTGTATCTCATGTTCTATCGGCGTCGGGTCGATGTCTTTTGACATGTACTTCTTCGTTAGCTTTGGATAGTCTTCTGCGAACTGAATATTTTATAGAATAGAATAGAATAGAAGTAGCTTACCTAATTTTCATTTAAATGAGTCATCGTCATCAGATAATCATACCTTTTTTTATGAATGACTAGGGAATAGTAGCACCGCCTGCGTTAACGGTATATGCTGGCGGGACACCAGTGAAAGATGATAGGTGAGGATGAAAAAGGCAGGTCAGTTGGCCCATCGTGATGACTACACCTGGAATTCAACACGATGGTTTCCACGAGACCACAGGGAGGTTGACCTGGTAGGGTATATTGCTAGCAATAGGACCCCCAGTTTCCATTACTAACAATCCTTTCCCCCCATATCATCACATCAACCGTTAATCGCCCACTGCTGAACATAGGCCACCCCCATAATGAAGGCCAGTAGTTGCCACGTTTGACAGGTGGTTTGGCAACCGCAGTTGGTCTTTTGGTGATGTTTTAAGAGGAGCGCTACTATCCATTTCTCGACTATTATGTTCTCTCTTACCACACCCACGAGAAAGAAAGAGTTAGCGTATTCTATGCCGGGACCACGCGGCAATTTAAATAAGTAGGTACATATATGTAATTGTTAAATGTTTTTAAAATATTTTTAATGATTTTTGCATAATTTGTAAAGCAGTTTCTAAAAAGAAAAATGGGCAAGAAACGCAGATGTTGACTAGAATAAAATTAAGAATATGTTAAAAAAAATTACATGGAATTAAAACGGTTTTACTTGTAAAAAAAATCTTGCATTTACTTCTCGTTCTATGACCATGTAACTACTTACATTAAATGGAACAAATTGTTATAAACCGAAACTAAATTAAAAAAATCAAAATTATATTTACTCTCTCTACGGATTTCTTGTAGAATTCATGTTCAATAGGACAGAGGATGTCCGGGCAACGTCGGGGGGCGTCCTTACTTTTGAGTGCGTCTCTGCTCAATCCTACAATCAAGCAGTTATCATCTACTGCTTTGCGACGGGGACTTTTCCTATAAGATAAATAGTTTTGGTTACTTTTTTTTATTTACTGTGTCTGACTTACGTCGTTTACCTTTCTCTCTGTATTTATCTACTATTTATGCCAGGTTGTTTGTAAGAGATTGCTTTTGCGATAAGGCCGCCTTTTGTATATGCACAGTCTGTATAAATACTCCTTTTATACATCTCTGTTGTGCGCAATAAAGAGTCTATTATAATTATTGTTATTATTCGTATATAGTTAATCCCGTATTACATTGTCCCATATAACAACCTATTTTCTTCTCACTGCTGGGAATGGATCTTTCGATAAGGGAAAGACTACATTAAAAAATTATACTAGATGGCGTTACTGCGACGTAATGATCAATAAATCAAAGAACTACAATTCTTTAATAGCGCCATCTGTCTTACACTTGTAATATTTACAAGGAACTGGTCTATTCTTAGTCATGTCCAAAATGATTTAGTAAAAACATTCAATTAGGGAATAATCTTGGACAGATTAATATCTTAGTTACAGTGGATACCCTAAGGATTATATGAAAACAACGTGAAAGATTAAATTTAGGTAGACATTTTGGTGTAGTTTTAATATATTTTACCGATAGATGACGCTAAGAGATAGCAAGGATATTACGGTTAGTGCTTTGAGCCTAAAGTCTAAATATTTTTGGATCAGTAGCTATCCTCTCACATTGTGCTTTTATGAACACGCTTCTAATCACATTCTGAATAATTTCTGAATAACAGACGGCATTGTAGTTACAACAGACTTATTTAAGAAATACAGCACTAGAAATTCGCAATAAGAAGCCTGTGAGGATCTAGGGATCTAGGAGCTATAATCTACTCATACTAGTTTGTAGACAAGTAATCGTTTGCACGACAAATATCATATAGCATGCTTATATCTTCATATGACGTATTAATATGTTTTCCTATATCGCACTAACAAAGTTTTTCATTATAGATGTATAAATACGAAATGTGAAAACGTGTAAATGGACCGAAGGAGCCAGGTTCTCCTAGCACCTACGGTCCGGAGAATCTTCGGGTGGGTCGGGACACCCCCGACCCACCTGCGAGATACTTCTTATGCTCATTTTTACTATATATTTTATAGGTTTCTTATTGATATTTTTAAATAGGAAAGATTTATGAAATCGAAATTTCGAAGATCAATTTGTTTAAATGGAAATATTTCAACGGACATAATTAAGTTTGTTTTCTATTGTATAAGTAGAAAAGGACTAGTAGGCAAGGAAGTAACCTACCTATAATTAACGATAACTTCGTCTGTACTACTAGTGTACGCTAATTGGGTGCTACTGAGGTTTTTTTTTGATGGGTGAAAATGGAATGGTAACCCCGCTTGCGCTAACGGGATACGCTGCGGAGCACCAGTGCAGCTTACTATCATGATGAATTCATCGCCATAATTTCCAGGGTGCTATATTGCTAGCAGGGGATTCTCTGATCCATTACTAACAATCCTGTTCCCCCCGCTACTGAGGTTTAATAGGTGAGGCTGAAATCAGGTCAATTGGAGGGAAGGGATTGTTAGTAATGAGGAGGTTAGTCCTCATTGCTATCAATATATTCTATCAGGTCGTTCCTACGATGAACTAGTTTATTGAATTCGTCACGATGGACTAACTGGCCTGCCTTTTCATCCCCACCTACCATCCCTCACTGCAGCCCCGCCAGCGTATACTATTAGCGCAGGCTATCATTCATTTATTAACCATTAAAAAAAGATATTTATATACAATTCCTATTTATTTCACCTTAAGATTTCAGGTACTTACGGTTTATTTTTTTTCGCATAATCAACCATATAAACCGATTGAAACTCAATTTCTCCATCGAAGACTGACATTGCAAAAGGAACAAATTATTGCATATCTTTATAATAAAATAATGAGTCTAAATTAAAAATAAGTATGAATTATTTCTTGTATCGACTATGTAAGATATGACAAAAATAAAATGTCAAAAATGACATAATTTTTTTTAATTCTGAAAGTCTGCTCAGATCTCTGGTAAGTAAATAGACTTAGTAAAACGTACTAAAACTTAGTACTTTACTAAGTTTACTTAATCTTAGGATTAATATTAGTTTTATGGCCTCCTTACATAGGTTGATTTTAATTCGCAAAAAACAGCAACTGCAACATTAAAAGAATTTAAAAAAATCCGTTTAGGATTGACGAATTTTATAATAATAATCAATTTATTCATATATAAACATTAAAAACAGGCTTATACATTAAAGTAATAATTCTGTGGTAGTAGTGAAAATGGTACCAACCTAAGTTCCCACTCAATTTAAGCTGCAGCGTGTTGCTGCAGCGCTGATTTTCAGTGAGGCCATCATTCAATAGATAAATTTTCATACGAATTGAGAACTTTATTTTTTATAACAGCTTCAAATGGGAGCATTTGCCATTGTATTAACTCTGCTTACCTCAATGGAAGATAGGCGTGAGATATACCTATGTATGTACGTTTAATTCGAGATTTTTGCTTTTAGTTCGTAGTTGCACTAATTTGGATTAATTGTAGAAAAGATGAGGAGTTAGTAAAAAAGCATGATAGAAATATCATTTTTATTCAATCGTTACAATAATTATACGCATTATAATAATAATATATAACAAAATAACACATTTATTCAGTAGTAGAACTAATAAGATACACAATACGGACTGTGGCGTTCGATATTGAGACATCTGACATTTATTTGCTAAACACACGATATGCTTCAATAGCAAATATTAAAAAGGGCCTGAGCAGACTAGCGACAATTGTCAGGGTACTTTTAACCTGTCAAAATAGGGGGAAAGGGATTGTTAGTAATAGAGACTGAGAATCCCATTGCTAAGCAATATACCCAACCAGGTCGACCTCCTCGCGGTTCCCCCTGGAAACTATCATGATTAATTCCTGATGAATTCATCATGATGGGCTAACTGGCCTGTTTTCATCCTCATCGATCACCCTTCACTGGTGCCCCGTCAGCGTATCCCGTTAGCGCGGGCAGGGTTACCATTCCATTTTCATCCAATAAAAAAAAAACCTGTCAAAATAGACTACATAAATGTGAACTTTTACAGAACCAACTCCTTCCTCCCACACTCCACCGAATTTTTAGTAAAATTTAAAACAAACGGAATCTTTTTTTAATAATCAAAATTTTGTAGGTTAGATTTTTGTATCTTAGATTCTTGTTCTATATTTTGTTCTTTCAGTGTGACAAAGTATTTTTTTGTCCTCTACACATAAAAAGTCCCTTGTCTGCAAGGTCCTAACATCAGGCACTATGGTACTAAAACAATGTAATCAAATTAAAAATCTACACGTATCTACGAGTCAATGTTTATATTTAAGGACGAATATAATTACAATATGAATAAAAATAAGATAGTTGACTTTCAAAACAATCGAATCAGGATGAAGTTGAAATAATATCGAATCGACGTCAAATATAAAGTAACATTACGACAAGAGATATTTCTTTCACACCTGCAGCTTCTCCGATGTTGCGGGTACTTATGGGCTACATTATCAGGTTAGTCGGACGCTCGTTTGTCCCCTACGTTTATTATAAAGTCTATTTGACAACTATTCTTTAGAATTACGTATTTACATATGCGATTGATATGAAATAAACATATTAAGTTTCGTTACTTCGTGTAAATTCGATTTTAACGTACTGAAACTAACAAAGTTACATAATTGTTTCTAATATTTATGAACTGAGCTATACTATAAATGCCTAGTTACGTTTTCAATATATTTATGAAGTAGATACTCATAAAGCAAGACATATGTTGATTGTGTTTGGCACTCAGTTGACCCTGTTTGCCCCGTAAGAGAGCAGACGTGAAGATAAATTGTTAATTTACAATACAGCCATATTATTTAGAAGAAAAATTACATAAAATTAATCATTATATCAGGAAAACGTCACAATATCATACAATTTTATATATAAACTTGCCTATATATACAAAATAGTCTCAAAATATGCGAATGTCTCAATAAGGAACACTTACAATTTGAAAAACGCCACACAGCCGTTAAAAACAGATAACGAAATCAATTAAATAAATCTCTACATTTGTTACCTATCTAATCTAAATACACAAATATTTATACAGAACTATACATTTCATTTTGAAAAAATGTATTTATACAGTACATTCTTTCGATGGACCATCTATGGACGTTCAGTTCTCATCAGACTCTTATCAACATTCAACTAGTAGATATAACAAGATTTGCATAAAATCTAAAAATTGTTTGACGGATTTTAACGGGAACGGAACGCACATAGGTGAAAATAAAACAAGACCAAAGACCAACCAAATAGAGTTTTCAGAGTGAACACAAACTTGATAAATTTGAAATTGTGTAACCTTTTGCATGTCTTTTAACTATATTACACTCCCAGAAGAATAGAGAAAGAGTTTCCATTCAACAGTTCACTGTTTTCATTCTCTCTTACTCTCAAGGGGTTAGATAGAAAAAAGCGATGTTTTTCAAGACCTTCTTGTCATAAATTCTTTGTTAAAACTCTATTTGGTTAAATATTTCTTCATTAAAAACTAATATAGCAGCCTTACGTCAAAGATAAATTGTCACGATTGTTAAATTCTTGACAAAGTTTATCTGGTCGCTCTTTACTTAATAATGTTAAAAATGGCATCACATTAAATTAGATAACATAGTAAGCTCTTTTATAAAAACATGCTGCTGATTATTAAGAAAATAAAAATAGACAGAGGTTACATTCGTGTAAAACTGTCCGATCGTTTTTAAATATTCGACTTTGGACGATATTTACAATAAAAAGCGAACAATCGATTTGGGCTTTGGCCGAAAAGTGAATTCAAGTCAAACATTACTCCTTAGAGAAATTGATAAATGGATAATGGATCTAAGGAAAAAAAATCAATTTTTTCGTCGATGAAAACTTGCGAGAACTTATTACAAATGTTTAAAAACTTGACAGATCTAGATCACGTGATTGTAATCACGTGCTCTAGATCTGTCAAACTAACTATTTTGTTTATGCCTTTATGACAGTACAAATTTGTCACGTTTTAAGCATTCATGATAAGCCTCCTGGTTGGACTGTTATGTTTAATATATATTAATAATACAAACGCAAATAGAAAGTGTTTTTTTTTTTTTTTATCTAATTAGTACCCTTCTCATATTAAAACATTGTCATTTCTTTACCGAAACTCTAATTTTCTTATCTGGTATTTTAATTCCTCAAATATGCCATAGCTCCGGTAAGGCTGAACCGGTAAGACTTTTAGCAACGGAAACTTCTGCCATTTGTCCACAACGAGAGAATCGGTTGCTGTATTCAGTCGCTATAATAATTTTAATTGTTAAAATCAATCGACTTAATATTTATAATATAGACTACAATTATACGTGACAGTCAAAACAGAAAGTTTATTTTACCATAAAGTTAATGTTAACTTCACGTATAAATGGTAAAAGAAAATTTTTCATAAGTTTTTAGAAAAAAAAAATAGTTTTATCAGAAGTTCATAAAAAAAATATAGCATTTGCAACTAGTGACAGATTTAGAAATTTGTTGTCTGTAGTCTATTTAAATTTTGGTTATTTTTTTGTTATGTAACTTAGAATGGCAAACAAGCTGACGGCTCACCTGATGAAAAATACCATGGGCATAATAGAGTATACACCCATGATACACCCCATGCGTTGCCATTCCTGAGGACTCGGGTGTTATTCCTCTGTACCCTGTAAATTCATTGCCCTACACCACCCTTCAAACCGAAACACAGCCATGGACAACTGTTTCACGATTGAAACACGAACAGGTGGTCTACAATGAAATGAAATTCCGAATTTTCGGGCTCAATTTCGTGTTTTTGTTCGTACCGATATCGACCCAGCAAATAGAGCTTAACCATTTGTTTATCATAAATCCTATCCTAATAGTGCTGTGGAACGATATTTTAACATTTTTAATAATTTTAAACGACATGTATTATGTAATTTTAACATCAAATTTCTATTTCGTTCGGATCCGAAATTTCGGCAAACATTTCATGATAGACCCTCAGAACAGAGGTACCCAAGCTAACGACTTTTGTACAAAGTCTCTAGTTATTTGTTTGGAATTATCTTGTTTAATTCCGCTACCATTAGTATGTGTGTGACTGCAAACACTCGAAGATTGGCCACCACCACTATTACTAGTATCAGTTCCAAATGCTTCTTATCTTTATTTCCTTCCTTTATGGTAACCTCAAAAATGTAGAAAAAAATTCATCTTGTAAGTTATGATTTTTTTTCTTTTAATATTTGTGTCTATGGTTGTGCTATGGACCGTAATATAAATAATAATTAGCGTTAATATATTAGATCACTAAATGCTCTGTATATAATTAAAATGAATTAAACACTACTGTAATCAGAGTTAAAAATATAGGTTATAAACAACACTGCTAGTCTACAATGAAAATATTTAGAATGGCAAACAAGCTGACGGCCCACCTGATGAAAAGTAGTAACCGTCGCCTATAGACATGAGCAGTACCATGAACATAACAGAGTAAACTGTTTCGCCCATGATACCATACCCTATGCGTTGCCATTCCTGAAGACTCAGGTGTTATTGTTCTGTACCCCGTAAATTCACTGCCATATCCTACCCTTCAAACCGAAACACAGCCATGCAAATAACTGCTTCAAAGGGTGGGATATGGCGTGAATTTACTGGGTACAGAGGAATAACACCTGAGTCCTCAGGAATGGCAACGCATGGTATCATGGGCGAAACGGTATACTCTGTAATGTCCATGGTACTGCTCATGTCTATATTTAATTATTTATATAAAAAAAAATTTAGGTACCGAAACCTCAGAATTACATTTCATGGTATCCAAGCAGTTAGATTAAACAAAACAGTTAATAGACATACAAGCAGTTAAAGAAAATAGTTAATAGGATTATATAAAATAAAATACTGGTTATTCATTACTACTATGGACTTAAAACTATACACAATATGAACAAACTTATTAAATGAGAATTATTTTTGGTCCAAAGCCGATTCAGTCAATTTAATGAATTCCATTCGAAAATAGAAACACACCTTTGAGATGTGACTACCTTTTTTTAATGAAAAAATAAAAAAAAATAGCCACATCTCATTTCTTATATTACTGATATTGAGTTAATTAGTTTCCAATTAATATGCTTTATTTATGTATTTCTAATTATGGATTAATTATTACTTTCATACATAATTTCTGTACACCGCTGTCTGGGTCCGATCAGACCAAAGCTTATAAGGACTAAAAAAATTGAATTAAAAAAAAATCTAGCGTGAGTAATGTAACACTAAATCTGTAATATGAATACTAAATCGATTACTCTTTTTGTAATAGGTAAAAAAATATATTGTTTGCAAGCGCCTGATAAATTTTTAACAGCAAAATTGTAGAGTTTATAATCGGATAGTATAAAGAATTAATATCAAGTCACTATTAATTAAATTATTCAGATCTCGTACGACATCATAGATATTACACCAATACTTTTTGTAAGGCATGATACACATAGTAAGGCATAAGGTCTAATAAAGTCTAGCATCATGTCTAGCGTGGCCTGGCCAATGACGATGTATCCATATACAAATGAGTATATCAGTGATTAGCTCATCAGTTCACGGTAGTAATCTAAAATCTTGGATACTGGCAACGTTTTTGGTAACCAATTTTTGAAGAAGGCAATGCAATTATCAAATAAATAAGGCAATATTTTGAGTTATAATTAATTCTTCTAGAAAAACTGTCTCCTTATGTAAAGTACAAACGAATCTATTGATAGAATCGTTATCGCTAGCGAGCTCATGAGACAGAATGAGATGGCGATATGTGCTGTCTTGTTTCGTGTGAAAGATTCGTTTGTACCTTGTCTAGGGCCTGCCTTCACTAGACAATAGTTCGATATATAATTTAATTTGATCTTATCATTTATTTATTAAACGATGCGCCATTTTTTTTGTCATCCGTGTTAATTTAATAATTAATTAAAATATTATCAGTCACATATATAATTTTGAAAAAAAATTGGTTCCGAGCGCTTTCTTCCGGTGTTAAAAGATACAGAGTTTAATGTACTTACGATATATTCTAAAAATTCAAAATTTCAACATGGTCACGCACCTTGATTTACACTGTAAATATTCAACTTTAAAGCCTGTGAAGATGCGATACTCTCCGGACAAGATCACAGTGAAAAAATGGAAAAAACTTGTCGATTGTTTGTCAACTATCATTAATACAAACAAAGAGTAAAATGAACTATTTTCACAGGCAAAGCCAAATTATTAGGTACAAAATTTCTATGACCTTCTTCGGGCTTCATCGTAGAACCAGCTCGATGACATCATTATAAAAGATATAGGGTCAAATTGCTAAGTTTCAGCTTAATGAAGTGTTTAAAATAACAATTACGAATTTTTAATTGGAAAGACCAATGGATCTTTATAAACAAAATTAACTAAAAACACCATATCTGTCAACTGTCCACTGCTTAATATAGGCCTTCCATGGGGAAAACCGTTTATGGCTCAACAGTATGGAGACTGCCATAACTGTCTTGACCTACTGGCATCCCCTGACTCCCTTCAATGCATTTGACGTCGTCACTCCATCTAGTGGAGGATTGTCCTGTACTCCATTTGCCTGTACGGGTTGCCACTTAAGAATATTTCTTGCCAATTATTAAAAAAATAATTATAGATATCAATTATTATGTTAAAGAATAAACTAAATATAAAATTGTAATGCTAAAAGTATTTAGAGTAATTTTCATCATTTCATCAATAAAGTAACTTTTACACTTTTGTCCTCTTCAGTTGTCACTTTAATTTACAATAAGGAGTCCTAGCTAGCAGTCAGTCAGTACCCGGCCCGCTCGTCCTCGGAGTAGGAGGCGGAGGACCGCTGCTATGGCACCCTGAACGGGACCACGAGGTCCTCGTGGTGCTCCACGCGCAGCTCTGATAGCGCCGCGGCCGCTTTCTTCACGGCGTTCGTTATCTGTAATGGAGAGACCATACCATGTACCATGGGCAATTGCACAGTAGTTATTGCCTACAAACTTAGACGGCATTAACCCCTTTCTATATCCTAATCCTTTGTGCCAAATTTTAAATTTGAAAGAAAATAACGAAACAGTGTAATAGTTAAAATATGTTTTTAGTTTTAGGTTTTAGTTTTCATGAAAAAGAGGTATCTAAATATATAGATGGACTGGGTATATGTACCATTGCAAACATGAAAAATGGAGAAAACAGATGATAGTCATGTATCTGGGAAATATGTACAGGAGCAGAGGTCGTAAAGTGTGAAGGTGGGAGTACGACCTGAAAGGGATCCTAGGTTGGCTTTGGTTAAGAGTGGCCAGCGGGTAGAAAGTAGGCTGGAATACTTTGGACGATATCGAAAGACACGTCAAACGTTGGGATATATTGCAAATAGTTTAATATCATTTCAAAAAAAATGTACAGAGTAGATTGGAAATAAAGACTTTTTTATTTTTATTACGTTATATTGCACTAGCAATCTCGTTTGTTCATAATAAACTCTGTCCGGGTGAGCCCCAAGCGGTTTGGTATGTATTCAAAATTCCTTGATACACAAAGGGCTTATGGATCTGACTTTACATCCACTTATAATTTCACAGTGGCGGGATGGCAGATGGTTTTTTTTGTTCGACCAAAATGGTGTGGTAACCCCGCCTGCGCTAACGGGATACGCAGACGGAGCACCAGTGAAAGGTGATAGATGAGAATGAAAACAGGCCAGTTAGCCCATCATGAAGATCATGATGAATTCATCAGGAATTGACCCTGATAGTTTCCAGGGGGAACCGCAAGGCAATTGACCTGTTAGGTATATTGCTAGGAATGGGATTTTTAGTCTCTATTACTAACAATCCCGTCCCCCTGATGGCAGATGGGTGGCACGTAGAGTAAGCTAGAGCAGCGAGGGCTGTACTTACAAGTTCCTTGTCGTGCGGCGACAGGGCCGGGCGTGCTAGGTGCGCGGCGCGCTCGGGCGGCGGCAGGTCGGCGAGCAGGCGCGGCGCGGGCGGCGCGGCGCCGGCAGCGGCGGCGGCGGCGGCGGCGGCGGCGGCGGCGGCGGCGGCGGGCGCGGCTCCGGCCGGCGCGGCGGCCACGCGCGCCGTGTACGCGCGCACGCGCTCGCTGTACGCGCCCGGCTCCAGCGCATACGGGCCCAGCGCGCCCACGTCGATCACGTTGCTGGGAATATGTTCACCATAAAATATACAACTACAGACTTAACCATTCATTGTACTGGGCCTGTACTATGGAAACAACTTTCGACCTTGAATAGAAATATAATAGACCTATGTTTATATTCATATACCAATTACAGTCACCACCAATTATAGAGAGTATCAGTAAAAAAATGTATTCATTGATGCAAGCACCTCATGACAAAACCTGAATGCTCCCAGATTTTTTTATGCAACTTAACAAATAAGTCAACAGCTTACTTATGGAATGTGATACCTGTCACATAAAGACACGAACAGCATCATGTATATCACAGAATGCTCTAGATTTTTTACAGTTATGTGATTAGCACAATCATTCCAATCACCTCTACTTCTAAATTTGTGATACGTACATAAATGGCATTATTGAAATAATTCTTATTATTCATACTCTAAGAAAGAATCTACCACAGACATGAAATATTTTTCTTAAAAAAAAATATGAAAAATTATGAAAAAGTTTGAGCTTTCATATTCAAAATTTTGAATTTGATGATTACAATTTTCTATATTTTCAATGTACATTTGTGTGAATGATTACCCTGATACATACGTGGCAGTTTCATGCAGTATCCTATTAAGAGCGCTTTGCTCGTCAGGTTTCCTAGGTGGCGTGGACGTCGACGTGGTCGGCGCCGGTGATTCTTGCTGCTGCTCCGCCACTTCAAGAAGATGTGTGCGCTCATTTACAGTGTTCTCCTTTAAAATTATAAACATAAAAAAATATTATACATATTTAACAGTGATTATTTGGGGGGAAAGAGATTGTTAGTAATGGTGACTGAGAATCCCATTGCTAGCAATATACCCAACCAGGTCGACCTCCTTGTGGTTCCCCCTGGAAACTATCATGGTTAATTCCTGATGAATTCATCATGATGGGCTAACTGGCCTGTTTTCATTCTCATCTATCACCCTTCACTGGTGCTCTGCGAGCATATCCCGTTAGCTCAGGTGGGGTTACAATACCATTTTCACCCATCAAAAATAAATAAAAAGAAACAGTGATTATTACAAAATTGTTATACAAGATAGAGTAAGAAACAGTGTGATTAGAGAGAAGTGTGGACTGAAAGACGATGTAGTGACAAAAATCGAAAAAGGAATATTGCGTTGGTTTGGTCATTTGGAGAGGATAGATGAAAGAAGAATTACGAAAGAGATTTATCGAGCAAGAATGAATGGAGATGTCGGTAGGGGCCGCCCTAGACGGACGTATGTTGACCAAATAGGCGACGTGCTGAAGAAGGGCCAAATTAAAAGTACCCGTAACTGGCGAGCGTGTATGAAAAGATTGATGAATGTGGAGGAAGCGAAAGAGGTTTGTTTGAATCGAAGCATTTGGCGTTCCATTGTTTCTGCCTACCCTAATGGGAGACAGGCGTGACAGATATGTATGTATGTATGTATGTACGTTATACATAATTAACAGTGGTTATTGCAAAAGACATAATAATGTCATCAGTAAGTTATGAAATGCAGATATGTCAGAAGTAGTAATGAAGTAAATAATTGTGGTTAAAACCATTAATTAAATATGTATTAAGTGTAAAAGAAGTTGAAACTTAAAAATGTTTATTTATATTGAGTATCAAAACTACAATTTTGAGTCTTATATTTTGATATTAAACATTCTAAAGCATACTGTATAGTTAAGAAAAAAATAACACTGCTTGCTTGATACATTATTAAAAATAGTGAAAAACTTTATGATTTAATATAATTACTACTATCTATCCTATTTAAGAGCTGCGCTCCTGTCGGTGGAGCTCTTGCCACTCACTAAGATTTTCAGCGAGTCTCTTCACCTCTTGATATGACACAACACTAACTCCTTCCTTAATCTGCCTGATGTAACTATGTCTTGGTTTCCCTCTTCCCCTCCCTTCTTCTATCAGGGAGACTTTGTACAAAAGTCGATTGCTTGGGTACCTCTGTCCCATTCGTGTTTCTACTGTGAAGCAGTTGTGTTTGCATGGCTGTGTTTTGGTTTGAAGGGTGGGATATGGTGTGAATTTACAGGGTACAGAGAAATAACACCTGAGTCCTCAGGAATGGCAACGCATGGGGGGTATCATGGGCGAAACAGTATACTCAGTTATGTCCATGTCTGCTCATGTCTATAGGTTGATATAATATAGGTATGATAATGTTTTCTTCAAAAGATATGCATTAGTAAACTTATTATAAATACAAACATGAAAAGAAAAGATTATACTAGGAAAACAATGGCCGGCCTTATCGTTAAGAGTAATATCTTCCAGGCAACCTTTGGATATATATATATGATTACATATCAACAACACATTATTACATCAAACATATTAAGGAGAAAGTGGTGTTGAGTCATATCAAGTTGTGAAGAAACTCACTGAAAATCATAATGAAAAACAACAGCTTCATAGACAAGAGTGTAAGCTCGCACATTTAAAAGAATTAATATATATCAATATAATTACAATAAATAGGGTTCAATTATTACAATCACTGTCTATTATTTATAATAAAAATTGATAAATTATTGCTCCATCATATACACAGTTCATTACTAAACTCAATAGGGATCCTATATCACATTGTAAAAGCAGGTCTGCCAATGAGTCATTGAAACAGTAAACATAATAACATATTAAATTAAACATACCACATATTTCATACGGCGTAGTAAATATATGACACGACTAGCCATTACTAAAGTGCTAATAAAGCATCACTTTGTACTTGTTAAATAGTTATTAAACTATTTTTCAATAGGTTATGGCATAAACAGTATACAATAATTATTCACTTCCATGTTTATTATAAATGAATTGATAAAAAATAACTCGGAAATAAGCACTGATAAGAATGGCCGACGTAAAACATAAAACAACTGTAGGTATAGTTAATGAGGATATATGAGTAGAAAATATACGTATTATATAGTAAATTATGTAAAATAAAACAGGCTATGAGCTGTTGAGGAAAAATTAATTTATAGCTGTATCCAATTATTGTGTTCTCTTATTTCATAAGAAAATAAAAGCAAAATCACCTGGGGATCGTTTTCTTTGTTGCAAAAACTATAGCAGCAACCCATGACTGCGGTCTTTAGCGAATTGAAGCATGAATGCAGCAAACAGTCCTCCTCGTTGGACTGCATAAATATTTGTCTAATTAACCTGTAATGTGGATAAAAATAGATAATTCCGTATTTCGCAGCGACAAATACTATTAGTAACACTCGGTAGGTAGGGAGATAATGACAGTTTTTTTTATTGTGACAGTGACAGTCGAAGACATGAAATGTCAAGTGAATTCTAAGATTTTAAGTCAGTGCCATTTTCAATAAAAAAGATAATTTGTGTAACCAGTTCATTAAATTTCATCATTAAATACTACAAAGCTACATATTTTATGATACTTTTGTATATTTTGGAGACAGATATATTACTAATAGTCGTGCCATACTTTGAATATTCATTTAATTTTTTGTTAATGTTTCAAATTGGTTACATAAACCAAGTTTCTGATTTTTTTAATGTAATAGTAGTACGATTCTGAAATAATGGACTTTGTGAGCATAGATGAAAAAGTACCTAACTTTAAGGCAACGCCTAAGAATAAGGAATTACAGAAATTTTTGGGATCTGATAGACAAAATAGATCAGGAATAGTACTAAATCTGTGACCCAGACCATATAGAAAGTAAACAAGAATTCATTTTCTTTAATTTAAGAATTTGGAAGAGAATGCTCTTTCTATCTTCTTAAACTAAAAAAAATTGTTCTTAATTTATTTATGTTCTAAAATTATACTACAATGTCACTGTCATTTTATGACATTATTGTCACTGTCATAAAGTTAAAAACACGTCAATCATCTTGCGGCGAATATTTTATTTGTAATTTTATTCTATTTATTTTAATTTTTTATAAATCTTTTAGTTCATATAATAAAATGTTGAGATATCGAGGAAAAAAGAAAGTATTGGATAAAGTGAAAGAACTGGACGCTTTCCCCAAAGTTCCCGAAGAATACGTCGACAGTACCCCGGTAGGCGGTACATTTTCAGTTCTTACTTTTTTTATTATTCTCTGGCTAATTTATAGTGAATTGACGTATTATTTGGATAGTAATTTGGTATTTCAATTTATGCCAGACATCGATATGGACGAAAAGTTGCGAATAAATATAGATATAACAGTGGCTATGCCCTGTTCGAATATTGGAGCAGATATCTTGGATTCGACGTCGCAGAGCGTGTTTGGATTTGGAGAGTTACAAGAGGAGGATACGTGGTTCGAATTAACGCAGGAGCAGCAAGATGCTTTCGATGCGATAAAATACTTAAATTCTTATCTTAGGGAAGAGTACCATTCTGTTTGGAAACTGCTTTGGAAAAAGGGACATGGGTCTGTGCGCGCTACTGTACCACCCAGAAAAACGAAACCTAATCGGAGACCAGATGCCTGTAGATTACATGGAGTTTTGATCCTGAATAAAGTCGCAGGCAACTTTCATATCACAGCTGGAAAGAGCCTACATTTACCACGAGGTCATATACACTTGAACATGTTATTTGATGACACGGCACAGAATTTCAGCCACCGTATAAACAGACTCAGTTTTGGAAGTCCGGCAAATGGTATAATTTACCCATTAGAAGGTGATGAGAAATTAACAACAGATGAGAACATGCTGTATCAGTACTTTATTGAGGTGGTGCCCACAGATGTGGATACCACGTTTGAATCTATAAAGACTTACCAGTACTCTGTTAAGGAGTTGGAGCGGCCAATTAGTCATACAAAAGGCTCGCATGGAGTGCCCGGTATCTTTTTCAAATATGATATGGCTGCTCTAAAAGTTAAAGTTTATCAGGAACGTGAGAATGTATTACAGTTTATGTTAAGACTATTTTCTATTATAGGAGGTATATATGTGATTATAGGTTTTATTAATACCATAGTTTTAACCATAAGAACATTATTGTTTAAGAAAGTTGCACCTCATGTGTTAGTGCAGAAACAAACTGACTCCCAATCAAAATATAAATCTAATCCATTGTTAATCACTCCTGACTTAAGTGTACCTACAAATTTAGTGAGACAATGATAGTAATTTCATATTATATTTTAATATAATTTTGTATTATACTTATGAGATTTACTATTCTGATTAGGCTTTTTATGAATATTTTTATTGTTATATAAAGTATTATATAATTTTATATACTGCAGTATATTCTCTAGATCTTTTTTCAATAGGTATTTACAATCGGGTGCGATAAAATGTAAACATTGTAACTCTTTATAGACAGTGACTTACAAATTCTACATGTATTTGTCGCCAGCCACTGTTTATGTTACTCAATTGCTAAAAATTTCATTATTAATGAAGATTGGACAAGTTTGCAAACTTTAAAACTACATGTTTATGATACAGCTTTAATTACAAACTTGTAAGTTATAATCTTTTTTTAAAATGAATGATTTCAAACTATGTTGCAAAATCTAGCTGGAGATAATAATTGAAATAAACTTTATATAAATAAATATGACATGTTTACATGTTATTGCATGTGACTGTATAATCGATAAATATTGTAATTACTTCTTTACTTTGTGACATAATGTTGCTCTATGATATGTGATATTTTTTAATTATTTTATACATATTTTTGATTAATTTCATATCTATTTTCCTAATAATTAGATTCTTTAGTAATGCATTTATTATCTAAGCTTGATCTTCAGGTCAGATTACAGGGTGCTTACCCTGAGAGAACTACTTATACATTGACAAAATTAGGTGAAGAGATTTTAGTACTATATAAAAGTAAATGTCTGTCTACCAAACTCTCAAGGACATTGTTTACGTAAAAGGTACAAGCTGTTTGGTAGTATGTTTATTTGTTTGTTATGTTTTATTTTATAATTGGCTATAAAAATAAGTTTTAATTTATTTTATTCACTTCAAAAAAAAACTTACATTTTGTAACATGATTGTATGTATTGTCTTTGTGTTCAAATATTGAATAAAATGTTACATCCAAAGAATCGAAACTGATGGGAAGTAAAAGTTTTTGATTGGCGACATGTTAAAACAAGTGTAGTACAGGTTACAGTACTTTTGTTAGCTGGAATAATAAGCTTGAGTGACGTCAATAAATGCAGAGGTGGCAGTTATAAGATTGATGTTCATCTAAGTGGAATTAGGTAGTTTCAAGTGTAGATGTGTAATACAGCCAGCATGCAAACACTGTAATACTACTTTGTTACAATGATCATCTTTATCAGTTCACACCAATCCACTGCTAGAGATAAGAATTCACATGTTGTGACCAATAAATACCTACTTCACCAAATCAATAATTCTTGAAATTTGAAAGGATTTTATCTAATTATTGTAATACCTATTAGTACGTAATTAGTTCGACAGTTAGCTAGTTTGCTATTTTAAAAAAATAATTGTATGTCAGAGCACGCTTGTGTTAGTGAGTGCATTCAAAATATTAAGATTAATCTTTGACATGATAAAATAAAGTGCCAGTTAGGTGCATTGTTATATTAATCATGTTTGTTTATTCTTTAAAATGTTTATGTAATAAATTTGGAAATTTGTAATTTAAAATAATGACAATTGTTTACAATGACATATTGAAAGAAAGAAAATGAAGGAGATATTCCAAGATGGCGTGTTTGGTTCCATATCCAATGGGGTCTCTTTGTTTATCTCCTTGTTTCTTGTGGTATTATAAGAAATCGGTGATTTATTTACAATATAGTTTACAAATTATTCTCAGTGACTATTTTGGGGGTTATTGCATTATTACATAGGTATAGGATTATTATATTCATAAATTATTAATATGAGTTGGAGATGACAAGAGATCTCAATCGTTTTTTTTTTTAATTATCAATATACAATTTGCATAATGTTTTAGAACATTGAATTATTATTTGATAATGTAACATACCCCTTAATTTGATTCTGTATATTGTTGACAAGGGTACTGATTAAAATCGGCTGTACCGAAGTCTGGTACTATTTGCATTATCTATAAATTTTTAAAAATAAATTCAATTAATTACTCATAAATTTTGATAATAATTTAGTATAAAAATTTTTACAGATTAATGTTTTTGTTCACTATAAAAGTATTTTGTAAATGATTAGAAATGTATTTATTTATTACACAATAATATGTGTATATATGTGTACATATAATGATTAATATTTTTTTTTTAATGTCAGATAATGTAGATGTTACCAGGCTTAGATGTGAATTGTGTGCTTATTTGTGTTACCTGATGTTGTAATTGCTTATTATAATTTGTCCATAAATGTTTGAAACTTGATCAATGTGTCATGGACGTAATTAGGTCAAATGGATGGGTTTGATCTTGTTACACGTGTATAAACGAACACGTGTTAAAATTCTGACATCTTAAAACTTATTCTTTGCTTTGTCCTCGTCTTACAATTTCGTAATATTGTTTTATATTTATACGACTGCCAACATTACTTTCAAATAATTAATATGAACATGATTACCACAAATGACTGAAAACAAAATAAAATTGAAGCGAACAGGCAGGTGTTTTACTTCCCCTTAAATTTGGCATGCGGGGTGTGAAGGGGGCTATCAACGGTTATGGTGTGCCGTCTCGCTCACACCCGCACGCCCAGTCGGCGTTCTATCGCTCGCGCACGCTCCGCTTCTCTCAATTGTCGTTTTGTTCACAAGAATACAACGCGCCGCCGACCGGCTTGTCTTCGTTTCGTTTGCATTCGGCTATTCGCGCGGCGACATTGCCCATTGACGTACGTCTCGTCGCGTATCAAACACGAGCGGTATTCGAAAAGTTTCCTAACTTTTTTTGAGTACAGGCCACTGATGTTGGTAAACTTTTCTCGGTCTGTATTGATGAAAGTGAGGTGTTCCCAAGTGTTGGTCCCGATTGAGTGTTTGTGAAGTGCATCCTTGATTTTTTGCGATTGTAATTTACCGTTTCAATTGAGCGTTACTGTTTCGTTCAATAAAAAAAGCGCGTAAGTAGACGAATCGCGCTCATCGCAACCAAGAGAGGGCCGTATATGGTTGACTCTCGTGGCGTTGGTGAAAGTAGACCTTTGTGAAGTTCATAAGGACATAGCCGCTTGCAACTGGCACGAAACGACTTGTTTCGCTGCAGTTCGCGCAAGGAAGGTGAGTGCCATTTTAGTTAAATTGTCTATATATATATATAAATGTAAATAATGATTCTATCGCTTCATAACAAAGCTGAAATTAAAAATTATTTACACAATTCGGTTTGCATGGTTATCTTTGTGCCATTCGTGTTTAGGCCGCCAATCAGCTGTGTTTCAGTTTGAAGGATGGAATATGTAGTCAAGATGGCAGAACACCTTAGGAATGGTACTGCTATAAAGACGCAATAGGTGTCACAGTATAATGTCATATTCGTGGTACTCTGTATGCTACATTATTAGAGTTTATAATTCCTTTATGGTGGGGCTGTCAGTTTGACATTTAAAATTGTAAACATGTTTGATAAATTGTTACTTAAATAAACTTCTCTTCTGGTAAATCCCTCGTGATGAGTCACCTGATCTCTCTTCATCCTTGCCTATCGTCTCTCACTGGTGTCTTGCCCAGCGCATACCAATAGCTCAGATGGGGTTGCTGTTCCATTGTTATCCATTCAAAAACCTAGGTATTATTATTATTTAAAGACGGACTTTCTCAGGCAAAACCCTGTGACACTGCTACCTTTCCATGATCTTTTCAGCTGGCTTTTTTTTTGTAAAGTTCGCTACTAATTCCTATCAGTGATAGCAATTTTAAGATGTTTTCTCATCTCCACAGGATATAGGATGTGTTTTTCAAAGGATATATATCGTTTATGTATGAGTGGGCTACAGCCACGCATTAAGTGCTGCAGCGTTTCTTCCTCATTGTGACAAAATCTGCAAACACTTAGGCATAAGCCTAGTTGGGCCATGTGCTTGTTTAAATTGCAGTGTACAGCGAGAGTCCTTGTTAATACACATATTTATTACATATATTCTTAAAGTTATTTTATGTAAACCTAGGTAGTTAAATGAATATAATTGTTCAATTTATAATTTATTAGGTAAAATGATCTCTCATTTGACCTCGAAACTGTTATCAACTCCGTCACTTAACGTAAACATTGCACCAGTGATTTATTTATTTTTAGGTGTCTAGAGAACTCATTATCGAACGACTTTGCACATATGTTTTCCTTTTATTATACCACAAAAGTGACAACCATACAGCCTGTCTTATGGAGAGAAAGGGATCGTTAGAAAAAAAGACTAACGGACTCATTGCTAGCAATATTTCCCCTGGAAATCGTCGTGCTGAATTCGAGACCTATTCACCACTAGGTCTGTCTTTTCATCATCACTTATCATCCCTCATTAGTGCCTCGCCGGCGTATACCGTTAGCGCGGGTGTGTTTACCATTTTTTTTGTCATTCATTAAAAAATATACCCTGTCAGGTCGACTTTCTGGCAATTCCCTCTGGAAACCATGATTTATTCATATTCATGATGGGTTAACTGACCTGCTTTCATCGTCACCTATAATCACTCACTGGTGCCCCGCCAGCGTATACTGATAGTACAGGCGGGGTTTTTTTTATGCGTGAAAATGGCATGGTTACCCCGCCTCCGCTATCGGTATACACTAGCGGGTTACCAGTGAGCGGTGATAGGTGAGGATGAAAAGGCAGGTCAGTAAGCCCATTGTGACAAATTCAATGATAAATTGGTCACGATAGTTTCCAGGGGGAACCGCGTGAAGGTCGATCTGATAGGGTATATTGATAGCAAAGGGGACTAAACTTTTTTTTTATACAACTTAGAATGGCAAACAAGCAGACGGTCCACCTGATGGAAAGTGGTAACCGTCGCCTATAGATATGAGCAGTACCATGGACATAACAGAGTATACTGTTTCGCCCATGATACCCCCATGCGTTGCCATTCCTGAGGACTCAGGTGTTCCCATTACTAACAATTCTTTCCTCCCAAAACAGCACAGGCGGGGTAACCATTCCATTATCATTCATTAAAATGAATTTTTTTACTGTAGTTTATGAATGACTGCAACACTAAGCTTAATCCTTTTTGGAGAATCCCACCCTGTACTCTCTAGAGAAAACTTTGGCAAGGAGCTTACTTCTTTTGATACCGAAAAACATTTGACTAATTAGCTCCATTTTTAGTATTATACTTTTTTATGCAATTTAGAATATCTCTAAAGCCTGACTGCGTTTGTTAATCCGCCTGCCAAGCGTGGCAACTACTGGCAAAAGCCCCCCAAGGCGAAGGCTTATGTTCAGCAGTGGACAGTTAAAGGCTGGTATGATGAATTAATATATCTAGTTACGTAACAGGTATTTACTCAATCGTGGTTTTTTTTTATTTGGTTTTTTGTAGACTCTATTATTGTAACCAACTGAACTATCTAGTTGGTCTCATTTGTTTTTGGGGTTTGAAGGTACTAATATTTAAATATTAGTTGGTTGTTTTTTCACAACAATTCAGAGTGGAGTTAATGTGCTGGTTGGTATGCCGGCCACTGTAGGTTTCCCAACGATATTGTAAATTGGAATACTTAATAGTGTTTTTAGATAATGCTACTACAACGATCATCTATTGTAAAGCTTACTTAAAAGAAAACTATACGCGGCCAAATTATCCGCCGTGTGCGCAGGTCCTAACTTATCAGCTGAACGTTTCTGACCGTCATTCATAGCTACGCTTTGCGACTGTAGGTCAGTGCCCTACACCCTACCTGTTGACTTGCCGTCCCGGTCGAGCCGGTTCTCCTACACTGCCAACGGATTCGAAAAAAGAACGAGCCTCGGAACTTGATTAATTATTTTTTTATTACGTGCCAGTAATTCCATAATCAAGAAATTAAAAATTACTAACATTTATTTATGGATAGCTGTGCCTTGTACCCGTGATTTAGTCTCAACAAGAAAATATTTATTGACCTGGATAAAAGGCGCCAAGTCAACAAACACACTTTCACATTTAATGTACCTATCCGTGCCTTCGCTGCGTGACGAGGATATTGAACGACTGGGATAAAAAGCCTATCGTCCTTATTCATAAAAACTTTAAACGTGTAATAAACCTATTTTAGGTATTTTTTTTTCTTAAACTTTTTTCTTTTACGGTAAATTCTTAAAAAAAAATGACAAGGCACGCTAACAGTTAAGGGAGTTTTAGTTTTTACAAATAAGGAATTATATCTTTTTTTTGGTACATTCGTTCACTACAGGAACAGGCTAAGGTCAGAGACCATGCTGCCAAGTCTAAAATGTAAAAAGTTTGTCTTAAATTTAATATTCTCAAATAATTTGTAAAATGGTCATTTTTAAATCATTAAGTAAATGTCTTAAATTATTATGTCCAATAGAAACGTTTCTGAATGGATTCTTTCTATACGCCAAATTTGATGTCATAAAAAAAAAATCAAGCGTATTGATTGAGAACCGCTTTCGTTTTGAAGTCGTTTAAAAATAGAATACTCTATACACAATGTGTGAATATATGAAGTAAGTATATGATAAAAAACTTTTGTAAGATGCATTAAAAATAAATCTACGTTTCTATTATTCTGTTGAATGGTTGGTGGTTTGAATGTTTGGTGCATATGGCTATCACGCGGCTGTTCTCAGTTGGTGGTAATACAATAATTGTATACAGTGTTATAGAACGCTAAAACCTACTTACATATTCACTGTTTATTATGCTAAAGCCAAGGACGCTAGATACTTAACTGGAAAAGTTCGCTGTCTTAACGCAATCAAACTGTTTATAATTACTCCTCTCCATCCAAAGGTTGCCTGGAAGAGATCGCTTTTAGCGATAATGTCGCCCATTGTTTTCTCACTGTGATTATTTCTTGTAATTGTTTATATTTATAATAAGTTTACTATTGTAATCTTTTAGAAGTAACAATGAAGGGTATCTATCTGTCTGTCTATTAATGGAAGGAGATCAAATCCTTATCGCATCGTATAAACGTCCAATGGTACGTAATTCAAACTAATAAATGACGTCAAATTAACGTCACAAATTGCACGTCCATTTAACGTCATTTATAACTCTTCGGTGTGATTTCAACTTGTTGACAATTTGATTGCGTTCAGTATTTGATATTGTTGATACATGTTATTGTATATAATGTTTTCCCTAATGCATTTCAATGTCCCACCGTTGGGCATAGATCTTTTCACGGAAGTATTTGCAGTATTTCCACCAATATAAAGTGGACTGTGCGTCGATAGATTAATCTGTTAGTTGAAACAGCTCGGTCTATAATATTTTTTTTTTCATCAATTGTATGAGCTTTACAGTCTTCCAATACGAGCGTATTGGGGGGAAGGGATTGTTAGTAATGGAGACTGAGAATCCCATTGCTAGCAATATACCCAACCAGGTCGACCTCCACGCGGTTCCACCTAGAAACTATCATGGTTAATTCCTGATGAATTCATCACGATGGGCTAACTGGCCTGTTTTCATCTTCATCTATCACCCTTCACTGGTGCTCCGCCAGCGTATCCCGTTAGCGCAGGCGGGGTTACTATACCATTTTCACTCATCAAAAAAATACGAGCCTATTAGAAGACTGTAAAGCTCAAATAAAACCCAGGAAGTCATCAGTACATTATCACATATAAAATAATACACATAAATAAAAGGAATCATATTAAAAAGACCAAACTTAAATAGAAATAACATTAGAGTCGAAATCCTATATGTTATTTTATGTATTCTATCTAAATAAGTAAATATCACTCGGATACCCAGCCCGCTTATTCAGAAAACTTTATTTACCTACTTAGAAGTGGCTGATGAAAAGTGAGTCTTATAAAAACTTTGTCGATAAAATGTTCCTCAAATAAAACATATTGATTCATGCCACCTGCAAGCTTTTAAATGTTAAATTAAAAGGGACGCGTTCACTTAACACAACAACGTCTAGTTTTTTTCGATGGATATGTTAAAATTAACATATGATTTTTTGTTATTTTTAGATACACTGAAGTATGGGGGTTTTTTTATGGGTGAAAATGGTATGGTAACCCCGCCTGCGCTAACGGGATACGCTGGCGGAGCACCAGTGAAGGGTGATAGATGAGAATGAAAACAAGTCA